GAATAGAAGCTTTCAGATTTTCTTTAGCTTGATGAGAATAGCTTGTAGAGCCATTATGTTATTTTGAAGCAGTAGACAAGAAAAATGAGCCATACTCTTGTCAGGACTCGAACCTAGACCTCTTGAATATGTGCTGGGTGTGCTACTGTTACACCATGAAGGCATGCTGGAAGGAGGGGGACCTTCCAGCACTCCTTCATACCTTGTATATGCCCCTTTTTAAAGGATGACTGGGGATTAGGGTACCCAATCACCAAATTCTGGTGGTGACGATTTATTCTCCATTATCTTTTAATTTGAGTGCTACTATAGAGTCATTAGGTTATTTTGAAACAGGAGACTAGAAAAATGAGCAATAGCCTCCCCAGGACTCGTACCTGGACTTCTCGAATAGGCACGGAGTGTGCTATTGTTACACCATGAAGGTATGAGGGAAGAAAGAAGAAAATTCCTTTAAGTTTGCATTTAAAGTATGTTAAAAAATGGTGCTGTAAACATCAGGCAACACTGAACTAGCAAGATGAGTGTTACCAAATGAGACACTGAAAAGAGTGTTAAATTGCAGAACCATATCTGAAAATTTTGCATAGATTTAAGGAATTAGCAAATCTATCCCTTTAATCCTCTCAGCATTATGGATGTAAAATTCTGTTTTTTTTTATTCATTACATATGAAAATTTCTGTGACCTTTTAATGTATTCGATTTTGAGCTGGGATGTATATTGGAAGAAAAGGCATCCAGGTACAAAGTGAGAGAGTTGTTCTTTAATTATAATCAAGAAAATACCATTTATTCATGACATTTTAAGGAACTTTAAAATTTCAGAGCTAAACCTGTAGAGCTTGGAGGGTTAATACAAAAATATTCAGCCATCGCATGCTTGATAAGACTTAAATTTATGTGAAGTGGTGGTAAAAGAATTTTCTGTACTAAGGCTTTTGCATAGATTAGGGCCATTAAGGGGGAGAATTTGCTTTCAAACCAAGATTTTGTTAGTGGCTAGCATTGTTGCTGCCTTTTTGTTCTCAGTCAGGTTCGAAACGTGAGAACTTATAACTATTCTGCTAATTTAGAAACATACCTAACATTTTGCTAAAATCACAGCTGTACATGCTGTGATCATATGATAATAAACCATATTTTCTGAAATTGATGTTCTCGAGCATCAGTTTGAATCTAGCTCATTTTTGTTAGCTTTACTGCACCAGAATTTTTTCAATTTCTATAGTAAATCTACCAGAATTTAAACTTTTGATTGCATTATTAACTTGTAATCTCTTGGTATAATAGACTTATTTTGCACCTGATAAATACTTATATAACTCGGAAATTTATCTTCTGTAATGTGAAAGAAAAGGAATGAGAACTTAATGCAACCAATTAAATAAGAATTCTGTGATGCATTGAAATAATAAAACACGTATTCCAAATCTTTCTGTACTCTCTTTGGTATTCTTTCCAAGTACACAACAATCTATTTTTGCTTAAAAAATCAGCAGAAACTCGGCATCAAGCTGTCCTTAGCAGCCCTGCCTATCTACCAAATGCACCTGCTTGTTGCCTTCTTTAGAAATTTTGAGGCAAAATTTTGTAATCCAGCAGGAATTTTACTACAGTTTCTTCCTTTGCAAGCAACTTCCACAAGCCCATATTATTAAAATTAAATTTAAGGCAGAATATGAGAGATTGTTTATAAAAATTGTTGGAACTTAAAATTTGGCTGCTTCTACTATGATGGTTGTGATAACACATAAGTATCAGGAAATGCAACAGATTTTTTTTCACAAGCTATAGATTATATTTTAAAATGTATAAACCTTACATGCTATGTGCCATATGTAAAATAAAAGTACTTACATATTTATCCCAGTGGCCTTGAAAGTTCATTTTCAGCAACCCGTGAAAGTTGTTGCTGATCAGGCAAAGTTGTTCCAGTTGTTCCTATGGAATTCAGAGCCAGGTTTTATCTTCTGCTCTTACAATAAAACATTCTTCAGTCTCTCCACAATAGTGCCTGCAGCGGAAGCAGTGGCGTAGCTAGGATGGGGCAAGGGGGGACATCTGTCCCCGGGCGCAGCGTCCAAGGGGCGCCAAATTCATGCTATGAAATTTTTTAATGAAACGTTTTATATTCTTAGCACACAGAAAGGGGCACAAATTCTTCAATTGTCCCCGGGCGCTGGAAACTCTAGCTACGCCCCTGAGCAGAAGCATTTGACTTACTGTGTTTTTACATTTCCATCAAAAGGATTTCTTCAATTAATACTTTATTATGCCTTCCGGTTTTACTGCAAACTCTGGTTGATCTTTACATTATGGTAACTTGGCGTTTTTTTTGCGAAAATTTGGCAACCAACTCTCCTACAGCAACCCTCTATTTTTTTTTTCCCCGCCGACATTTTGTCTTCACGAAGTAAAGACATTTTTTCTTTTTCTTTTTATCTACTGAACACTTCTTCCAACAATCTACTAGCCGAATTACACTTATGCTAGAAATTTTATCTAACAAAACTGCTTAATCATGACAAATATTCACTGCAAAATTGGGAAAAAGTGCACAATACCATACTCCCTTACGCGTTTTTTCAAAATAACACATACACATAAACCATGTACACACGCCGACTTATTTTTACTTAAAAAAAAACATCCCAGAATTAACACAAAAATGGCATTGCGCACACTCTTCACTATATCCATGTACACTGCTTTTTTTCTCATAAATTAGAAAAATTTCACACGAAAATACATGACAATTTTCTGAATCTTTAAACCCGGTAAAAAGAACATATATGAAATTACCTGATCGCGAAAAAGTTTATAATACCCTTTCCAAATATGAACATTTCCACATATAAAATAAATAAAATATCCAAAAACTTTTACCTCTAAATCATCTATTATATTATACACGTCACCAACGAATTCATACCGCAAGCATTACAAATACTTAGTGTCAAATATTTAAAATTATTTCCATGCACATTTACTTCAACTTAAACGTATACCAAATTCCTACAAACATAAAATTCACAAAATAACTATTATTTAATTAAAATATCACTAAACCATGTACACGTCGACTTATTTTTACTTAAAAAAACATCCCAGAATTACACAAAAATGGCATTGTGCACACTCTTCACTATATCCATGTACACTGCTTTTTTCTCATAAATTAGAAAAATTTCACGAAATTGCATAACAATTTTCTGTATCTTCAAACCCGTAAAAAGAACATATATGAAATTACCTGATCGCGAAAAAGTATATACCCTTTCCAAATATGAACATTTCCCGTATCAAATAAATAAAATATCCAAAAACTTTTACCTCTACATTATCTATTATATTACAAACGTCATTAACTAATTCATACCGCAAACATTACAAATGGTTACAAATACTTAGTGTCAAATATTTAAATTATTTCCATGCACGTTTACACAAATTACTTTACTTCCACCTTACATTTAGAACAATGCATAAAAATAATATCCTCAAATAATTAAAAATACTAACTTACCTATTCTTCTTCAGAATCTTGATTACCTGTCCGATAAACTTTTCTTATTTCTGTTTCAGGATCTTTAAAATCATACTTATAGTTCACACCAAGGTACCAGGTAAAATAAATAACTTAATAAAACATCTTTACTTCTATCTCGCACAACCTTAAAGAAACACTTATTACTACCCCTTTCAATCCCACTAAATACCCATTTCGAATTCACTTTAGTTAGGGCCATGGGATCCAAAAATTAACGAACACTGTTTCACACAACACAGAATAAAGCCAAATATAAAATTTCCAGATTTTTTCACGATTTCACCCCTTTTCCGATTAAAGAACCGTAATTCGTCCATTAATATCACATGACATATCCCATGATCTCTCATTTCCCTCACACAAAATAATGCGTAATCGGAACTGAGTACTGCTCACATTATTACCAAAGTCCCAGGTAGTAACCTTTATCGCCTCCAAAATGTCGCCAAACTACCAGTTACCATATTCTAAAGATCAGCCCAAACTCTATTTAGAATGCTATGAGTTAAACTTACTGCAGGCTATTTCCCCAATCTATAGCTGTTTGGTCATTGTTTTAATTGTTTAACTTTTAATTGTTTTCTAACTTTTCTTTCCTCCATTCAGAAGATGTAAATTCTCTCAACTGGAAAGGAATGGGAATGCAGTCAGAAATTTGATTCTGTAGTCCTCAAGCCATGTTCCTTTTCGAATGGATATTCTCTTGTCATAATTTTTCACATTATATTACCATTGTTTATCCGTGCTTATATCAAATAAAAACACAGATGTTATGAGTGTGCTAAATCACATTACTTGGCAACACTTTCACAGTCAACAAAAATCTGCGTGGTCAATAATTTTATTGTTAAAATTACAAAAAAGCAGTGCATTGATGTAGATTTTGAATAAAATGTATCAATTTCACAAAAATATTTTGATTTAATTTGTAGTTGATTTAAAATGTAGTTTATTGAGATTATATACATTTTTTGTTGGATGCTCCTTTTACTTTTTAAGTGAATATAGTTTGATGTGTACATGGACAAAGGGGGTGCGAAATGCCTAGTTTGTGCAATTCTCTGATTTTTTATTCAAGTGAAAATAGGTCGATGTGTACATGGATAAAGTCAAGGGAGTGCGTAGTGCTAAGTTTGTGCAATTCTGGAATTTTTTTTAAGTGAAAATAGATCAATGTGTACATGGATACCGAGTTTGTGCCATGCTTTGTCTTGTTATTTTGGCTTTGTGTAGCAGCGGCCAAAAATCGGCTCTACACAAGCCAAAGTAACAAGTCAAAGAATTGCACAAACTTGGTCTTCATGTACTGTCAATCTTCGCCAAGCGATACCTGTAAATAGACTTTTACCAAAATTTATGTTAACCTAAGTCTGTTTTCTCCTAATTTTTAATTTACATTGATGTGCTTCCTTTTCCAGTAAATATATATATATTTTTTTCCTTTCCAGGTCAAACCTTTCCTAAAACAGGGCAAACTGTGGTTGTACACTATACAGGTTAGTAATAGATTTTGTAATAAAGGTAAAATATTTTTAAACATTCTAAAAATCTATAAATAACATTATGAATTTGGCCAGTAATATCTTCAACTATTATTATAAGGATATAATAATGTTAGTTAAATAAGATGTATACTTTATATCCTTTTTCTGTTATTTATTGGTAATATATACTATTTATTCTAAACTGCTTCATCTGCAATAGTCATATTTTTTAGCATTGATTTGCATTAATCACAATAATTTTAATGCACCTTAACTTATCCCCCTCCTTCCCCAAAAAATTCAGTGATTGATAGTTAGTCAATTTTTTCATTCTAAAGATGATTTGTTTTCTAAAATAAGCATATAAATTTTGTAGGTACTCTTGAAGATGGGCAAAAATTCGACTCTTCGCGTGATAGAGGAAAACCTTTCAAATTTAGGATAGGGAAAGGAGAAGTTATTAAAGGCTGGGATAGTGGTGTTGCTCAGGTGAGTTAATAAATCAAAAATTTAATTTTATGAAGTTTATTGTAAAAATATATGGCCCAGAATAGATGTTTTTTCTGAGAGATGGTAAGAGTAACTTTTCTGATTCTGATATATTGCAGATTTTTTGGGAATCGCATTTTTTTATACCTTAAATGCAAGTCCTTTTCTTCAAAAGATTTTTTTTAATTCTTGGAAAAAGTAATCATATTCATTTCAGATTCTTGAAATGGTTCTGTAAATTGGAAACAAACATATCTGAAGAAATAGTGGGAAAGTTTACACTTTTACGCATAAAATATGTAATATGTTTTTAAAAGTATCCTTGTAAATAATGTGATGTGAAAATATCTTGTATAAAAAGACAAAATATATTCCTAGTGCTTTAAAATATTTTAGTTATCAGTTTCATATTTATATATGAATAGAATATTTTTTGTAAGTATGTGCTATTTTAATTCTAGATGAGTGTAGGACAACGTGCTAAACTGATCTGTTCTCCTGATTATGCATACGGTGCTCTAGGACATCCAGGAATATATCCTTTTTTACTTGTATTACACATATAAAGTATTGCATAATTTTAATTTGTGCAATATGTATGCAAAATGTGATTGCATGCTGTTTTTAAGAGAGTATTTAATCTTATCATTTATTATCAGGATAGAATTTATGCAATAAATTATTCAATAATATCTGGTTGTAGCAAAAGTTTTCTGCCAAAAAAACTTTCTTAATAAAGTTAGGGATAAAAAAAAAAACATAAGAGCAGTGCCTTCAGTATGGGTAGTAATCACCACCCAAATTCATGATTTTCTGCCAATGTTTTGGTAGTTTTTCAAAGCCTTTGGCCCAGAAACATGGTCACATAAAGTCCAAAGACAGATCAACCTCATTTTCAATATCCTGTGCAGAATGGAAGCTAGCACTAGCAAGATGTAGCTGCAAATGTGAAAAAAGGTAAGTCTGAAGGAGCGATGTCAAGGCTATATGGTAGGTGTGACAAAAGATCCCATTCGAGTTCATATAGAGTACAGCCAGTGAATGCAGACTTATGTGGTCTTGCATTATCTTGAAGGAACATTACCTTTTTTGTGTCGGGACTCACTTTCACGTTTTTCCTTGATAGCAGCGTCAACACGGACTAGCATCTCGCTGTACACCTTACTGTTGACGATTTTACCTTTTTCCAGATACTCTTTGTGGATAATACCACTGCATTCCCACCAGATACAAAGCATGATCTTTTAATCAAATTGAACTTTGCGATGCTGCCGATGAGCTCACCAGGTGCAGACCAGCCCCGTTTCCAACCTGTGTTGTTAGAGTTGCATATTGATCTTCTTCCACAAGTTCTTGCAGGTGGGCCTCATCAACACAGTCTCATATGATTACAACATTAGTACCTAAAGCTCTACACATGATTTGGTGACATTCTGTAGCTGAATGTTTTGAGTTATGTAATAATGCTTTTTTTAACTGTGTTTTACTGATGCTTTTGAGTTTATACTATTCTGTATCTATACTGATGCTTTTGAGCTGTTTGAGTTGTGATGAGAAACATGGAAGCCACGAGAATTTAGAGTTATAATTGAATTTGATTATTACAGGACACTGAAGTATTTTTATTGTGTGACTAAACAGCTATCATAAAAAAGTTAAAAATTTTCTGTTTTCAAATCTGGTGCACAGTATTCCTCTAAGTGATGAAATTGTTCTAATAATATTTATATCCTACTTTAATAAACTTTGTAACTGAAAGTACATGCCTAATATAAGTATTTAAAAAGTGATGCCACACTAACTTTTCAAGCATCCTATATAAGTAGAAATATTTTTTTTTATTATTTTGAATTAATTAACAATAATGCTGGAACTTAATTATATTAGTGCGAGTTCTTTTCTCTCTATCTTCCCTTTTCTGGGGCGAGATATCTCCATTGCACTAACCTTTTGCAATCCTAATATGTAATATGTTTCCAATCCTAATATCTTTACTGAAGAAAGAAAGCATTCTCATAAGCAGAGAACTACTGTTGTAATACACTCAGTCAAAATAGTGGTTAGTGAAGGTGACTCTATACTGAGGGGCATGGATGTTTGTAAGCATTTAGTGTCTGTGCAGCAAGGGATATTCAAAATACATGACGAGCCAAAAGTCCTTTTGAGAGGTTGGTAGTAGTGGTAGACTTTTGACCCACCTGTGTAATCTCTCTCAAAATTGATGCACAACTGCACAGTTAGTGTGGTGGGATCATACTTTTATGACCAATGGTGAATTTTTGGTCTCTCACCCACTTGTACTTGTTATAATAGTGTGTCATAGCTGCCATCTTAAAATATGAAGAATCGGGAGGTTGCAGGAGGTTTTTTTTGCACTGCATGACAACTCTAATTTAAAAGAGCTGCAAATTAAATTTATAATGTATTTATTAAATTAACTATTATTAATTAATTTCTTAAATTAACTTTATAATGTATGATTCAGGGTACTGAATTGTTTATAATATAATCTGTATGTTATAATTATATTTAATTAAATATTCTAAATTTCATGTTCTGTAGCTAATTTAATTTTTCTTTATACTTTTATACCGAGAAAATCCTGAGTAGGGGAGGAATGATTTTTTTATAACAACATTCTTTTAAATAAGATGAAGATAAAATTAATAGTTACTCTATTTACTGTTGTGTTTATCTACACAACAGTAAAATGCAAAACAAAATTAAATGAAATTCGAATGTTAGCTAATTAAACATAGGTTGTATCTTCATAACTTTCTACATATGTGTATAGGATATAAATACAATTCAAATCAAATAAAATTTAGTTAAAAATCACTTGGGAGGAGAATGGAATTTGCATAGTTTATGTTTCATTAATTTAAATTTTATATATTGCTGGGAATTGGTGGTGTTATTTAAGGCAAAATAAAATAATAATAATTTTTAAAAAATCGAGAGATGTGAGGGGAAAACCAGAAGTCTTCTAATAAAACTGAAAGAGTTCATGGCTATGTTATTTGTTCTGAGCTTCTAATACTAGATTTGCATTTTCCTCTATATATTTATTTCTTTTTTAATTTGGTGATTTTATTGTTATTTCACCAAAAATTGCTGATACAAAATATTTAAAAGAAAAGTGGCTTCAAATTTTATCTCTGTAAATATTGACTCAGGTATATACTTGGCAGTAGCAAAGCTGCTTAAAATAAGCCAAGAAAGACTTTATGGAAATTATTTTCAACACTAGGAGTAGGGAGGATACTGTAAATGCAGAATTTAACTTTCTGTATGGTCTCCTTAAATCAAGAAGTCAAATTTTGATATTGTTTATTATGTCTTAATAAGATTAAATAATTAAGTTCCATAGTTTTATATGGAAATGTTAGTAATTAATATTTTCGTGGAGCCAGTCTCAAAATTAATGTTAAATATTGTTTTACTCAAAATGTGTTAATTGCCTAAAAGAATAGCTTCAGTAATATTTCCCAAACCTGGTAAAAATCTGATTGGAAATACTTAGAAACAGACATTCAAAATTGATTTGTATCAACAAATTCATTTCTTAAGTATCTTCAGAATTGTGGAACTTTTCATATTCAATATACTAAAATATAATGAATATTTTACTGTTTGGACCCAACAAGGATTATACGAAACTTTCAGTGTTGAAGTTTTTTTTTCTATAACCTATTGTGAAGAACTTGGAAAGTGTGTGTATCGAATCACTATTGAAGGAAATAGAGCTTATTGCAACATTTTCCGAGTATCCTATTATATAGCTAAAAGATGTAACATATTTAAATTACAGCATATGATAATACACCAATTATATTTTTTCAAGCATAAGTAAGTTAATCTAATTTATGCATATGAATATATTATGAGAGTTTTGTCAAAACAGTTATATATTTGATTTGTAATTTTGTATTTCTTGATAATTTCCTTAATGCTAGTGCACTATCCCTCCAAATGCCACTCTAACCTTTGATGTAGAGCTTCTGAAATTGGAGTAAATGATACATTGATTACCTTCATTTGTGCATATGTGTAGAGGTGCACTCCCATAACCAGGAAAAATCCAGAGTTTGTTTTTCTTCAAATTTAGATTACTCTATTAATAATATAAATTTCTACAGCCAAGAAATTTTTTAATCAGTAATTTGAATTCTTAAAAAATGACCTGGAATATGGGAGATATTTTATGCTATTTCACAATTTTCTTTTCCATATTTTTTCCTCTGTGATCTGTCTGAGATAGATAATAATAAACATAACAGATTTTAAGGGTATGTGTCATTACCAGTAATATGTTAATATCAGTTTAAAGTATTTATTTGTATATATGTTTAACTGGTTTTGTTTTAAAAGTCTGATTTTATGGTTAATAAAAATATACATTTAACTTTGGAATATAATATTCTGTGCTCCTAAATTGTGATAATTTTTTAAACCCCCCTTTTTTAACTAAGTGATTAGGGTTATGTTGTCCTGAGAGTATTTCCAGTGCAAAATGCATTTGCATATAAAATGTTTTTACCCATAGCATTATTTAATTCTCTATTGAGTAAAATTGCTGCATATTTGCTTTATGATTATAAAGTAATAAATTTGAAGGAACTGCCACTAAATTCTTGATTTTTTATCTTTCATCTAAAAAGATTTTGGAGAAGAATGTTCTTAAAATTTCGTAGCGCTTATTAAAAAGATATTCTCGTTGTTTGTAGACGTTAGCTTACGTTTTATATGTCTATTTTTGCTTTTGCCAATGCTGTGAATTTTATCAACTTTTCTGCTTCATGGTAGGCTTTTATTTGAAATGGCAGTGAAAATTGTTATTAAAAATCTTACATTGTTTTAATTGCTTCGATAACTGTTCTGCTAAATATTTTGCATAGAGCTATTCAACATTTATTGTAGAATGGTATACACTGGGCCAGTTTCATGTTTGGTATGACAGATTTCTGACTTATATGCTGATCGATGATCTTAAATTTGATTTTGGAACTTTTCTACTGTTAAGGCATTTTGTAAATTTTATATTCAAGTACTGCGAATGTATTTATGCCAGATATTGCATTTATGACATGTAGTGATATTCGTAATTATTAAGAAAAAGGTCAATTTTGTCTTTTATGCAATACAAGCAGCATGCAGGATCTTCAAGAGCCTGTACACTACACAAAATAATATAGATTTTGCCTTTTTTAATGAGTTTTAGTTACTATAAATTATAAAGAATTATTATAGTTTGTTTAGTATTAATTTAATATAAATGCTACATGTACTTATTTCCATACATATTTATGTATTTGGTATGTAAAGAATAATTTATTTTGTAACATCTTTTCTTCTTCCCTTTCACAGTTTTGTGATTCTTTGGTCCAGTGTGTTTACCTTAATATTTTGCTGCTGCAAATTGTTTGTGGCTAATCTAAAAACATACATTTAGTAGGTTGCACTTCTGTAGAATTTTGTAGCATACAGTCGCTTGGTCTGTGTTGCATATTGGTGTTTTGTAGTAATATGTGCATTAATAAAATGAAACTAACTGAAAACTTAAAATTTTTGTATTACACAAGAGAATAGTATTTTTTATTCAGCGTTTGTACTTGCAAGTTGGTTTTTCTTCTATCTTTTTCCAGTACATGCACTCGATAATTTTCCCAAATAGTTATTTATATAAATTTTTAAATCACTATTTATCTTTAATGGGTTTTTGTAAATTTTCATATTTATTGATCAAAAGCATTCTATACTTAATATAATGGTTTAAAAGAAGCTATGAATTTAGCCTACTCTGCCATATTAGACAGCTACAAAGTACACCTGCTACAAAAGTAACTTGATCTGTATATCCATAGTCATTTTTTAGAACAGTAAATTGTTATATTGCATTTTTGGATATAAATTTTGGAAGTACATTATTTTACATCTACTATCAAGTTATGCAATATATCAATTGTTTTGATCCCTCAAATGTAGAACATGTACACCTATATATATATATATATGTATGTTATCTATGTTTGATTGTGCATATTGTCTAATGCTGTGTATCCATTTTTATGAATATTAATAAAAAGTCCCTCAGCAGTTGTTTCAACTTTTATTATTAAAGCTATTGTATGAAAATATTTGGTAGTATTTTATTTAAAGGAGAGTGCACGTTTATCACATTTCATTGTGCTACACAAATTTTAATAATGAAGCAGAGTATCTGATATTTCATATTTATTTCCATGTATTTTCGTCTGATTTTCAAGTATTTTCTGTACTTATTTCAAATAATTTTCTTCGGCATCTATATATCTTGAATTATGAATTAAAGAGATTAAGTTAAAATATCAAAGCTGAATGACTTGACTATTTTTTTTTTGACAGCACAAAATTATTACTGAGGAGTGCAACATACAGAGGTTGTTCACACATTTTTGTAACGATTTTCATTTTTAATAATTGAATTTGAATATTAATTTTAAAATACAAACGTGACTGGTTATCAAGTTGGAATACATTTTAATTATTGTCTGCAGCATTAAAAATATTTTCTCCAAAATGTCGCTGAAAAATAAATAATGGATCTACATTTTATGCATCCCACCCAAGTCCTCTGACGTGTCTCCTATGGATTACTTTGCATTTATTTGTACTTTTAAAACAAGCTCTTTATAAACAGCATCCCAAAACATTGGATGGACTCTGGAAGATTGATTGTTAAGGAGGAGTGGAATAAAATCAACGTTGCTGTTTTAAGAAAAGGACTTGTTAATCTTGGAAATCAATATGTAATATGATAGTTCAACAAACACGCTATCAGATTGAACATGTTAGAAAATAAAATTCTAAGGTTTGATTGAACATATTAGAAAACAAAATTCTAAGGTTTGTTTATATATAAATCTGTGCAAAATCATTACGAAAATGTGTGAACACCCTCTGTATTGCATGTATGGTAGAGCAGTTACAACTTTCAGACAAGTAAGGTAAGTTAAGTAATACAACTGAGGTAAATTGTAAAATTTTAGGAATTCTTCAAGGTAACGAGTTCCAAATCAGGCTCTCTATGAGGCAGTGGAAGTCTTCAGTGATAATTGAACTGATGCTTTGCTCTAGTATTTAGCCTGCTGCAAAACAACATTCAAAGGACAATATTGCCAAAGAGATTTGAAGTGTAGAATATCTACTGGCAATCACTGTAAAGTCCAGCTGTTTCTTAAAAGTTAAATTGTGTCCAGTAACATGCAAAGCTAACAAACTGGTGAGAACAATGAGTGAAATTTTCAGTGGCTTATGGAAAGGAATTGTCTAATGAATGCATTTTGACAAGGAAGAAGCAGTATTTTAATATTTTTTCA